GGCAAAAGCACCTGCCTGGCAAGTGCAAGGTCGTAAGTTCGGTTCCTGGTACGGAGAAAAAACAAAAAAAAAAAAAAAAAAAAAAAGATAATGGCAGCTATAATCTGTTACCTACTGTGTTTTAAGCACTGTGTAGAGAAGGAGAATGCTTTCTTCACTGCTATGTCCTCATCATTTAATAGATGCTTAATAGATACTTGTTATGGAGGCAGTCATTTCTTTAATCTTCGCAGCCAACACATGAAGTAGGTATTATTTACTGCTTCCATTTCACAAAGGAGAAAACTGAGGCATTGCATAGTTAGGCTTTGCCCAAAGTATCATAGCTAAAATGATGCTATATTTCATGAATGTACATGGAGAAAGCTTACATATTGACATTTAGGAATTATCAGTTTAAGTCCTGCTCGGAGAATCTCTCAGATTTCTTTTTTTTCTTGCCAGTTTTTCTTTCTTTTATTAGCATATATTTGTAATGCATAATAAATGCATTCATCATAGAGAATTGGTATATGTACATATCACATCTTGATCCTTTCTACACACCCTTGAACCCCCCATATCTCCCTCTGTCCTCACCCCATCTTCACAAGGTGTGTCTCCCTGTTTCTTGTCATCTATCTTTTATTTGCTCTTTACAGTATTTATACTTTAGGTGTCTCATGAGAAACCATGCAATATTTAACCTTCTGGGTCTGATTTATTTCATTAGCATTTATTTCATTAGCATTATGGTCTCAAGGTGCATTCATTTTTCTACAGATGACTCAAATTTATCCTTCTTCCTATTTTCCCCTCTATATAAATATCACATTTTCTTTATCCATTCATTTGTTAATGGGCATATAGGCTGCTTCCAAGATTTTGCTATTATGAATTGTGCTGTTGTAAGCATGAGCATGTATGTACCACTGTAATATGATGTCTTTAGCTCTTTTAGGAAGATATCCAAAAAAGATATAACTGGATGAGGTGAAGTTTCTAGTTAAAGTTTCTTGAGGAATCCCTATAGTGATTTCTATAGCAGATGTGCTTGTTTACATTCCCACTGACAATGTAGAAGTGTTCCTTTTTCTCTCCAACTTTTCCAGCATTTGTTGTTTTTGGAGTCCTTTAAGATAACCATTCTTTCTAAAGTAACACAGAATCTCAGTGTTGTTTTGATTTGCATTCTCAAGTTTCTTGTATCTGTAGATATTTGTGGTTCTCGTAAGTAACTTTGATAATTATCTCATTTTATTTAAAATATTAGTATTTTTAAAAACACATGAGGACAAACATTTTCCAAATAAAAATAAATGATTGGGTTTTTTGCTCATTAAAGGACTCCTGAGGCTGATTTTCAGCCCCAGAACCAGTTCTGTGAAGGGTACTACTCGCAGAAGACAGTCACAACTTCTGTAGACTTTGGTAATTGTTGAGATTGCCACCCTTTTTCATTAAAGCATAGTGACTGAGGGCTGAGGATATAGCTAAGTGGCATAAGCACCTGCCTGGCAAGCGCAAGATCGTGAGTTCAATCCCTGGTACAGCAAAAAAGAAAAAGAAAAAAAGCATAGTAACTGAGTTAATCAAGGTCAGATATAGTTGGAACTCAGCCTCCTAAATTCTGTTCCTTTCTTCAACAAGTTTTTTCTCAAATTCATGGGTTGGTTCTTTACCTTTAAATAGCTCCTTTTAATTTAACCTTTGTGTACAAGAATAAAATGCCATCTTTTGGGTAGCTTAGCTTATAAATCAGATGTTTTAATCTACTGAGAGAAGATAATTCATGAAACATATTTCACTTGATTCCCCTCCTTATCTGGTGGTTGAAAAAAATGCTCTCATTAGTTGTGTTCTGAAATGTCATGAGCTGAGGATGCAGCTCAGAGGTAGAGTGTTTTTCTAGTACATCTGAAGATTTGGGTTCACTCCCATGCACCAAAAACCAAAAATGAAAAACAAGTGCCTTTTACCTTTTTTGAAGGTCATTTTAATCTTAGAGATTTCCATCAGGAAATACAAAGCCAAAGTATAATTTTATACTCATCTAGTATAGGACTTGGCTTTTGTTTTTGTCCAGGTAGTTATTTAAGGGTAAGACATGTGTTTTATTTTCAGCCTATTCCAGAAAGTATTTATATGCCTTCATGT